AATAAACATAAACATAAGTAATGTGCAGTTGATACCACATTAACAGCAGAGAATAGAAATGATCTGGAATGCTTACCAATGAAGAAAACACAAATGCAGGATTACAGCTGACGAAAAATGGTTAGAGAAGGATTACATACTTCAGTGTGAAAAAGGAAGAAATCGAAAGTATATTATACATTGGATCAGTCATTAACAAAACTGGAAACAGTACCCAACTGGAAAAGAGCTTTAAAAGTAAGAATGTGTTGCTGGAGACCAAGTTCAGTATCATTGATACTATAATATTGCCAATTACAGTGCATGAATGTGAAAGCCTGACAATGAAGAAAAATGAAATTATTTGAAATAAGGTGTTGGACGAAAGCCTTACAGATACCATGGACTATGAAAAAACAAAAAACAAATAGGTGCTTGATTAAAGCAAGCCAGAACTCTCCCCAGAAACTAAAATGACTAATCAGAGGTCGCTGTACCTTTGGCATATCAAGAGGAAACCAGATTCAGTGAGGAAAAAATGTTAGTAAAAGTCAAAGGTGCCGAGGGGGGCAAAAAAGGGAAGATCTAACATGTTATGGGTTTGACTCAACAAAATAAATTATGGCCTTTAATCTGCAAAGACTCAAGCAAAATTAATAGTATTTTTGGTCATTAATTCATATGGTCACCATAAGTCAGAAGGAACAGCACAGAGTGGACATGCTGAAATCACGTAGCTGACAAAACCTGTTCATTTCAGTGGGTCTAGTCTAATGGGACTAGAATTGGATTCAGCCTCATATATTGAAGAATACATCTAAGAGACTTAGATTCAGAGACAGAAAAAGGACTAGATAAGAAACCTAGATCTTCACTGATGGGTTGATGGCGGGCATTTACTTCCAGATACTTCCAAATCAGATGAGAAATTAGCAGCTGAAAAGCTGTTTAGAATAGTGTATAGGGACGTGGTGGCGCTGCGGGCTAAACCGCAGAAGCCTGTGCTGCAGGGTCAGAAGACCAAGCAGTCGTAAGATCGAATCCACGCGACGGAGTGAGCTCCCGTCACTTCTCCCAGCTCCCGCCAACCTAGCGGTTCGAAAGCATGCAAATGCAAGTAGATAAATAGGGACCACTTTGGTGGGAAGGTAACAGCGTTCCGTGTCTAAGTCGCACTGGCCATGTGACCACGGAAGATTGTCTTCGGACAAATGCTGGCTCTATGGCTTGGAAACGGAGATGAGCACCGCCCCCTTAGAGTTGAACACAACTGGACAAAAATTGTCAAGGGTAACCTTTACCTTTATTGCAGATTACTATGTAGTGTTTGATAGAAAGAACAAAATCTCTTCCACCTTTAGAGGTTGTACTTATGCATCATGTTTGCAAGTGTACAGAGGAATAGCCTCCAAACATGCTTGTTCATAGAGGATGATGGTTTGTGCCAAATTCAGGTACTGCTTGCAATAGTTTCACCAAAGCTGACCTGATGGCTCTGTGTGATCAGGCTTCCATGCACACTAGTTGCCTGTGACTAAACAGAAGCTACTGGGACAGAGACCTTTGCGTTGGTTTCTCTTTATTGACAGGTGAGAGTATTTGGCTTATTTCTTTTTACTAACAAGTGTCTTCCCCCACCTCCTCTCCTATAGACTGCACAGCGCAAGATCAGGGAAATCGTCCAGCAGGTGAAACAGCAAGAACAGAAACACCCTCAGGGAGCCCCTGCCTCACAGCGCAGCAAATGAGGCTCCAAGGTGCCAGCCATCAACAACCATGAATGTAGCCCTTCCAACACCTGACAGAATAACCGGACCAGAAAGCAAACCAAAGACTATCTGGAGACATCCAAATCTGCGCAAAAGGCTGGGACTCTGCAGAGGACTTAAAGAACCCAGGAAGTAGGAAGGGATGGGTTTCGGACAGCAGGGGACAGCCTTCCTCACACCACAGCCTACAAGGAGTCTGTCTAACAGTACAACGCTATCCCTTTAGTTGGACTAACATAGGCAGAAATTTTGAAGACAAACCCATTCAGATTTTTTCTGTACATGTGTGTACATACTAGGAAAGCATTTTTACACAGTGCATGGGCTGCTGTACAGGACAGCATTAATATATTTTAGAATTAATATAGCTAACTAAACTAACTCCAGTCTTTAATTTCTTTTAAAACCATTAAAAAAAATTTTTTTTAGAAAAAGCAGGCTTTTCTAGACTATGATGAAAAGTTAGTCCATTACAGATTTCTAACAGAATAGGATGGAGACTTAGGCTTGCCAGAGCAAAAGTTAAGCGGGATTCAAAAGTGAACCATATTTAGAAGGGCTTTAGGAAAACTAATGGCAGCTGCATTGCCATCTTGGATTGCCTGTAAGTGCCAACAGAAGGGATACCGTCTTGTTAGCAGAGGAATTTCTATGCATTTCTTTCTCCAGCTCATGTGATCTTTTCTTCGCTTCACTGATCTCAAACTGGTTTTTGCATACAGTCTCTCCTTTTGTACCATCAGACAATGCAGTGCTCCAAGTAAACACATCATGGAAAAAAATACAAAAAGAACCACCCAGCCACAACTTCCACTTTGCTATCCAAATGCCGAGCCTCAGTTATATCTAAGTTTCCTGGAGAGTGGGGAGGGAAAAAAACTTTCACCCTGCTAACAGGAAAACCACATACTTGGTACACCTTGCATGTAGGATGCTGCCACCAATACTTTGGGAAGTGGGTTTTTAAAATGGGATTGACAAGAGGGTGTTGGCCCAGGGCATGAAAATTGCAACTTTTTTTCAAAAAAGAAAAAAAACTACCTCAGGTGTTTTCATACCTCAGCACCTTGCTCTTGTGTGTCCCTTTTTGAGATTTTGTATGCCTTGTAAAACTGAGAGTTGGAGCATTTTTTATTTTTTTAATAAAAATGAGTTGGAAATAAATTTAGACAAAAGACAGCTGCCAGGTGGAAGAAAGCATCATTCTGTATGATGACTATTGTGTATTATCCTTCTGCTAGATGAGAGTCAATGGCCTTGAAAACAATAATAAAGGATAGAAGTGCAAGAGACACTGGAGCAGAACTCCTGAGTTTGACAGGATACACACACCAGTAGAAGTTTTCTGTGCTAACATGTTATACCGGTTTCCTTGAACATACCATTGTACCAACAGACTGCAATGCCAGTTTTCTCTACTTCAGTGTTCTGTGAAAACAAAATATATCCAGCTAACAAGCGCCTGACCTCAGCAGTTTTCTTTAACAGCAAATGAAAAGTAGGAAAATGGGTGGTATGTTCCTTGTCTGCTTCCTCCCCAGCTTTAACTAGTATGTCTTCTGCAGTCTTCTGAGGTCAATGGGTGAAACAGAAACAAAGGCTATCCTTTGTACCCGATTGACTTTAATTCGTCATTTGCATTATAGTGACATTTCAATATTTTTTGAGATAGCTGTTAGAACTACTGATGCAGAACATGTATTTCCAATGCTATTCATCTTCGTTTCCCATACAGGTGATTTTAAACACAGCAGCTTAGAACTAAAACAAAGGAACTAAACTGAGAGAAGCTGACAGCTAGGCAACTATGCTATACAAATATTTTAGGCTCGGTGTGATAGGATTAACAAATGCTAAAACAAAAACTTCACAAAAAAAGCTAATCTCTTTCAGAATTAACAGATTTTGTAGTATACTAGCTACATGTTTCCATGCTAACTAACAGCAAGCCACTGTGCTTTACACATGAATTCCATCGTTTCTGTTTTAAAGGAAAGTTAACTTTGCATACATGGAGCTGCTGCTGCTGCTGCTGCTAGCAGCTTCTTGCAAGTGAAGATGCTCCAACCAACATCAAGAAATGCCCACTGGAAGTAAATGGAAAGGCCCACTTCTGAAATCTCCCACTGCTTATTGGTGAAGTTTTCAGGCTTTGGTTCATTTACAAAAAAGTAATGCTTACATCATGTTTAACTCACACTATTAAAGACAATAGCTACAGATGCCTGCATCTGAAGAACTGTGATGGTAAACTTCACCATGTAATCCCATGTACATCTATTCATATGTAAGTTCCAATGACTTCAGTGGGACTTTTTCAAGACAAATATGTACCAGGCTGCAGCTACAGCATGACTTCACTGTGACTTTAGGGGATTCAGAGGTACAGACTTAGCTGACTTACCTGACAAGAGTATTCCCACGGTTACTGAGAATTGTATGTGAAATACATTACATAGTGCTTTATAAAGTGTTATATAAACATTGCATATTTTAAACATAAGCAGTTCACTAAATATAATTACCTTTATCCCCCACCTACTAAGAAAAATTGGGATCAACCTGAAATATATTTACATATATTTATCAACAGCACCCTTAAACATGCATCAAAACAAATTCTATGGCAAATGTATGAAAGAGAGACAAAAGCAACATTCATCCAATTTGACTCTTCTAAATTGTTGCTGCGTTATTAAAGTATCTGTTTGAAATGCACTGCACCTAGGTCACTTCTCAATTTAACAGAAGCCAACATTTGTAGCAATAATACTAATCCAGTCTAAAGTTGTTCACAAAACTCTGCAAGAAATGCAGAATCTACATTATCCTTCCACCTGAAGGAGGCAAAAGCTTCAATCTGGTTCTCCAGCTGCCTTTGGACTGCAACTACCAACACAGACAAGTGGATTGCAGCGAGTTGTGTAACATCATCTGCTCACCCCTGATTTATGACTCCTTAGTCTTCCTATAGGATCCATCCTTTAAATGAACTGAGAAGGTAAAATGGAGTTTTCCCTGTTTTACTCTTTATTTTTTAAATGTCAGCATCTATCAAGGTTTTGCAAACACAGGGAAAGGCCTCCTAAACCACATTGGGCTACAGTCCACACAGGCCTCACAGCCTCCTGCCCATAGCCTAACCCCTGCAGGTTTCTCCCATTCTGCAAATACCACTCCTTCAAATATTGAATGCCTGTTTCTCTTTCCATACTGATAACAAGCATATGATGAACACATAAGTCATTCATGAAAAAATAGGAATATAAGATTTTTATGGATGTTCTGTTCTGAAGACTACAATCCATTATCAGTTTTGCAAGAACAGACAGTGTCTCCCCTACCAGAAAACAAGATGTTCATTCTAACAAAGGCACACAAATACTGTGGAATACAATACTGAAGTTGATATCCCTCAGCCATTAATTTATATCAGGTTGTTTAATATGATGCTCCAAAGAAAATATATTTTCTTATTCATTGACTTTAATCTATATCACCTTTCTAAACTGTTAGCAGTGCCAGTCATATTAATGTAAATCAGATTTACTAGATAAATATTTATTTTCATTTTTATTTGATGAAAATATTTCAGCATTCCAGCAAATGTTCATTTAAATAGAATAATACAAATAAATAGCTTCATACGAAATTACAACTCCTTTAAATAAAGACTAATCCCCATTTGGGGCTTTTACTGTGAATTTGTTACAACTCAAATGAAAGACTTCATCTTTCATAACTATAAATCCAGTTTTTAAAAAAGTTTTCTATCTTCCCGCAGAAAACAGTTCAGTTTAGAGAATCTGAAACATTCCACAGGTTCACAAAATGCTTTTTCTGTTTGTGAATGCCAACCTCAATTTCTAGATCTCCCTATTTAAAACTCTGGCCATAGCAGAAAACTTGGTAGAACGCAGCTAGATAAATCCAGAAACAGACAGCAACTGGCATGTGAGCTCACAGTGCATTCTTCAGTTTAACCGATTTAATGAAATCATATGTAGTGCGGAGACCTCATGAAGACAGCAACATATACTTTTCTTCTTCATATCACTGAGATCAATGTCCACTCAATATTCTTTGGCAGTCTTTTCCTTAATCTGTTATTGTAAAATCATTCTGCTGAGTTACTTTCTTCATCCATGGTTTAGCCCTTTGGATAAAACTTCTGAATTGAGTACTGTTCTTAAAAAAATCTCTGCATACCTCCATCTCTGAAGTAGAGGCCAGAGAAGACACTGAATCTTTAGAGAGAGAGAGAGACATGCTCCATAGTTAACATACAACCTCTTCACCACCAGAAGATGATACTCTGAAAAATGAATCTATGCCAAAAGCCTATCATAGCACCTGTTGATGAAGTATCTCCCACACCATCCTTTTGCGGTAGTATGGCATGTGACACTGCAAAATAATAATAATAAAACAAGTTTTAAAGACTTATTGCAGTCTATCAGGCAAAATTCCCATTTACAGAGGAATCAATGCACAAAGCCTTGGTGTCAATGTCTACTGCCATCTTACTCTCCTCTATCTTCAAAGCTTACTTCTTTACAAAAACATCATTAGTTCATAGATCACAGACAAAAGTTTGCAAAACACTTGCTTGGAAGAAGAACAAGCTACAGATTTACTCTGCATGTGAAAAAATAGTCATATCTTCATAAAAATATGGGAGAGAGGCCTAACATAGCATTAAGCTGTTAACAAGAAGGAATGGAAGGGCTTTCGCAAAGCATTGCAAGTTACTTACCTGTGTAAATACAATGGGTTTATCCCTGGAGATAAAATCTGCATATTTACAAGCAAACATTCCACAGTCACTGCCATTTGACTGTTGTGGAATTTCCTATGATTGAGGAAATGAAGAAAATGCAGAGATGTAGCTATCAGTACTTTTTTATTTTGATTTACATTAAACATTAGCGTACTTTAAGAAGACTAACACAGTAAGTCTACAACTGACCACCAGTTTGATACAACAAAGGTAAATAGTGCACTTCCCATTCTTCTTGTTATATTGACATATTTGATTTACAGAAGCTGTGGACTAGCACTACTTGGTTCCAGATTAAAAAGTATCCAGGAGCCATTCTAAGAAATCTACTTGAAATTTTTCAGACCCTTCACTGAAGTAGCCTTATTCAAGATAGTCAGCATTTTGTTTAAAAGAATGATACTACAGGTGTCTATCTTAAGTCAGTGATGGCGAACTTTTCTGAGCCCGAGTGCCCAAACTACAACACAAAACGTATTTGTTTCAGTGTGCCAACACTGCAATTAAACCTGAATACTGAGGTTTTAGTTTAGAAAAAATAACTGCCCCTGCACTGCAAGGGTTAAATGCTTTTTTTTTTCTAGAGTTGATATTAGCAGAGAAATACTTACAGGACCTCCAATCCCCCATCGGGCTAGACCGGTCATGGACACCATTGCACCCTTCCACTGGACCACCGCACCAACAGAGGGGAATGCCAAAATCCAGGATTGGAGGACGGGTAAGTATTTCTCGACGGTAACTTATGGCTCGTGTACACACAGAGAGGGCTCTGCATGCTAGCTGTGGCATGCATGCCATAGGTTTGCCATCACTGGTCTAAGTAGCATGATAGAAAGTCTTTAATAAATCAATAAATTTAATGCTTCAATAAACTATGTTTTGGGAAAGTTTAGATAGATCACACACTCCACAACATCCTGTCTGACATGAAAACATCAGAGCTTTGAGAACTGTGTTTTCTTTAAAAACACACTCTGTATTTCATATGCAACAGGAAAAGGTGAGAATAATTGAAGCACTAAAATTTGAACAGGAAGAAATTGGAATGGGCAAGGAAATAATACTACTTTTGATGAATAAGCAACGCTTTATAAACCAGTGTTGTTACATTGCACTGGTTCGTTCTCTCTCTCTCTCTCTCTCTCTCACACACACACACACACACGGGGGAGGGAGAAAGAGATGCACAGCAGAGTTATAAAACCCAGAAGCTGATTACACTCACATGTGGTTTTACACTGTAAAGTGTCCATGATGTAGGATTAATACCCATGTTTCTCTTGGCTTTGCTTTCCTCCTGCAGATACTGCCTGTTCAATAAAGCCATAAAATATGTTACTCTGGAGTCTTTGCCTCACCAGGTTTACCTGTATATATATATGCACAGATAGCAAAATTTTGATTGACAAATGGATCTGATATCTAAAAGAAGGGGGGGGGACATTCCAACGTCACTGAAGTGAACAAAACAATATTTGATTTATATATCTCAAAATGGTGCATGAAGATTGCTTTTGACAATTATTAACCAACACTTTCAGAACTGCCACAGTTGTTAGCATATTATAGCAGATAGTTCCTTATGTCTGGTCATTTATTGACAACCATAGCTTTAATTACAAGTTTTATCTAGAAATTATAATCCTTCTCTTGAAAAACACTGTAAAAAGAGTAAGAGATATTTTACATGTACAATGCAATAAATAAGCACTTTACTTACAGCAATTTCATACAGATTCTGTCCCCATTTTGCCCCATTGAGTCAAAATATTTAATGGTCTCTCTCCTCATGTCTATAACCTGCCATCAAAAGAAAGATGGAAATGGAAAAATTGTGGGGCCCACAATATAGTATCATTTCCCCCTTTAAAAAATACTAGAAAAATCTAAAAAATACTCACCACTAATGCCCAATGTACACTGATATGAATAGGCACCAAAATCATATCGTATTGAAATAAGTCCACTCCTTTGGTCCATCTTCTCACTGCACAGTAGCCTGCAGAATTTAACTTAGGGTAGAAGAAAGTACTGAATGCATAAAGATCTGCAAATCCTGGCTTTTTATTTCTCTCCACTAGAAGATTCATATAGAAGTTAATGACCTATAAATACAGGAAGAGATAAAAATAGGAAAAATAATATAAATTAGCAGTATATCTGTTGAAGGGAAATGTCACAACATTAAAAAGGCCAAATTGCTGACTTCTGGAGTTTACAATAAAATTAGAATTAATCTGATCTTCCTATCATGTAAATAATTGTTTCTTGAGAAATACAATGCTTTGTGAATACATCTGTAGCTACTAAACATATAGCATTTAGATGGCATCCTATTAAACACAACTAGCTCAACAGAGCAAGCAGCTGTACTTTATGTGCTCTTTATGAGCCTCGTGGCGCAGTGGTTAAACCGCTGTGCTGCAGCTAAAACTGTGCTCACGACCTGGGGTTCAAATCCGAGGTAGCCGGCTCAAGATTGACTCAGCCTTCTATCCTTCCGAGGTAGGTAAAATGAGTACCCAGTCCCTGGGGGGGGGCAATGTGTAGCCTGCATAATTAAATTGTAAACCGCCCAGAGAGTGCTTGAAGCGCTATGGGGCGGTATATAAGCAGCACACTTTTTTTATATGGAGGTATCCAGGACCAGCTTCCTGGCACTCCACTTCCATACTAGTACATCTCCAAGTGAGGGGAATCCCACATTACTATACCAGTGGAATATTATAATCCATAAGTATGCAACTGGATCCTGGACTTAGTTCTTGGGGCAATAATATTATAAAAAAGGAGAAATGCATCTGATACATATATCTCTGCAAAGCCAAAAAAAAATGCTACTTCTATGCCACCCCATAGTGCTTAAACCTCTCTCTCAGCAGTTTATAATTTAATTATGCAGGCTACACATTGCCCACTCACCCACTCAATGACCTGGGTATTCAATTTACTGGCCTCCAAAGGATGGAGGGCTGAGTCAACTTTGAGCTGGCCACCTGAGCCCAGGATCAAACTCGGATCATGGGCAGAATCTTCACTATATTACTGAAATGTAACCACTGTGTCATGGGACCAATAATAATGACTGGGTCTCAAAACCAAAAGTGTCAATGTAGTTTAATGGAGAGAATCTTGATTAGGACTCAAATGCCCAAGGTTCAAATCCCCACTGGTCAACGGATGGCAATGATAAACCACTTGTTGTACACCTTACATACTTTCAAAATCTGATCAAGGCCACCGTAAGTTGGAAATTACTTGACAACACATAACAATTAAAATTTAAGATTTGCCAGTGCCTCATTGCAGCTTTGTCTATAATAAAAAGCTAACTAAGTTTTAATTAGCATTGAAAATTTATGTTTTACCACATCATTGAGCCATTGCTGGTTTTTTAGAGTCTGAATGTCTCCTCGTGTAATATTCAGTTTGAAGGCACTTGTTAAGATCTCATCATCTTCACCATGACTCAACGCATTTGCTATTTCTCTCTCCATATCCTGGAAGAGGCAAGTTTTGTAAGATGAATCTCATATAAAGCAGAGACTACTGGCAGAACTGAATTTTGCAAAGCATTTTTGGTAAGGGCAGGGAGACCTGAAAGTCACAAAAACTTTGTTGTTCAAACCCTGCAGAGTGTGAAACAAATGTACACCATTTTGGCCATATGCACAGTGAACAAAGCAGTTTGGTTAAAATCTAACCTAAAAAGTTCATTTTTAAATATAAATTATAGTATTCTCCCTGAATAATGTACTGAGGACAGAAGAAACTAGCACTATTTTTTCTATGGATATGGTCCAGATGACTTTGAACCCATCCCAAACAGCCCTACTAGAACAATGCTACCTCTGTCAGGGCTGGAAGGCCCGCTGTTGACTTGTCCACACTCTGCCATTTCTGTTCTTCCGACTCAACTAGAGAGCAACTTCTGTATGAAATTCCTTCCTGACTCAGTCTTAACCTAAGTGATACCTCTTCCGATAAGTCATCTGCCAAAAGCTGCTTTATATTCTGTTAAAAGAAAAATTATTGGTGAGGAAAATAAGTACAGAATAAGAAACGAACATTCAAGACACCACAGAGTAGCATACTTACCTTTCTTTGTAATATCAAACTAGGTGTTCTTTCTAATATCAACATAGGTATTATGAGTATTTGCAAACTAAGTATCGGCTCACCAGAAGCATGATGTCACTAATAGACAAGAGGGGCAATTTCCCCCTACACAGTGAACTCATGAGGTTGTATGTAAGAAATATTAACTCACAAACTAAAACTGAAAAATGGGCTGAGGGATAGGCATTGGTTGAGGTGATGGACCTTTACAGAATTTTTATAAAGGGATGGCAAAGGAAACTTTCAAAACGTCTTCCTTCACAGATTGAGGACAGAGTGGTGGTGATGGTGAGTTTGGGTCATTTTTCCATCTCTCTCTCTCCCATTGGAAAAAAACACTGTGATTATTACATATAGATATATGCTTGAAGGTTTGGAGTTGATAACCAAATTGCCAGGGGTCAGGATAGGAATACTGCAAGAGAAGACCAAGGCTCAGAATAAGCAAGTTCATAGAATTTATTTGAAATTTACAGTTGCCTTTAGCAACATTTGGGAGAAGAGAAGGATGTAAATTTACCGTATTTTTCCATTTATAAGACTATTACCGTATTTTTCCATTTATAAGACTATACTTTTGTCTAAAATCTTTAGACTAAAAATTGAGGGTTGTCTTATACACGGAAGTAAGCTAAGGAGAGAACAAACACAAGTGGAGGGGAAAGCAGGTATCAAAGTGATCCTGCAGTGCTCTGATCCCTTCCCCCCTACACTTGCTAAATCCCACTTAGAGTTCTTAATTTGGGGTTAGAAAAGTGGGGGGTGTCTTATATATGGGGTGTCCTATACACGGAAAAATACAGTAAATAAAATCTTTAAAATTGGCACCATAATTATATCATGCTAGAATGATATCATTCACAAGTATTTGATTTAATTAATTAAAAAATTTTATTATAAGGAATCAACCATGGACAATATAAAGCAGGAAGGTAACTGCTTGTATGATATATGATTATCCGTTTTAAGTAAATTAACAAATATAAATAAAGTATTATAGCCCATAACACAATTTCACTCTTGGGCATGTTGAGAGAGTTGCCTCCTTCAATATCTTCTCATGAGCCTGGAACTGGGCCTAGCTGAAGAGTGTATATCAGTGGTTCCCAGCCTTGGGTAACCAAGATGTTCCTGAAGTGCAATTCTCAGAAGCCTTCACCACTAGCTGTGCTGGCCAAGGTTTCTGGGAACCACAGTCCAAGAACACCTGGGTTACTCAAGGCTTGGAATCACTAGTGTAGATCAAAGCAATAGACACTGAAATTTAAAAAAAAGTGTCACTGAGATACACTGCACTTTTTTTACACCTGTGCTTTTTTACTTTAAGAGCACACAAGAAGCAAAAACTAACAAAGCAGATTATATCATGAATATGACAAAATTCAAGAAACAAAAGATTTGTGATCTCTAACATTCCTCCTCTTCCTCTACTCTGATGTACCCTGGCATTTTATACTGAATTACATGATGGACTATATGTATTTTGAATTTATTTAGACACAAGATATGACTCAAAAGTGAGCTTTAATAAAATATTGATCACATATGGAACTGCAATGGGGGGGGGGAGAGCACATACTTCACCATAAATACTCACCTCTTTTTTCTGTATCAAAAACTTCTCTGACTTTGAAGGTCTTTCTGTTACTGTCATCAAGCTGAGAAAAAAGCAAATATTAATATAATGGAAGTGTAGAACTATTATCAATGCAAAAATGGATATTTTTCTCATCAGAATAGTATTCTCATTCAATTGCTAGAATTTTATTCTTGTTAAATCCAAGAGCCTCATATTCCTATAAGGAGCAGTAACCACCATACTTGTGGTAGTAAGGAATTAAACAAAGGCAAATTGTACATGTCCCTTTAAAAAATGGCTCACTCATCTACGCAAAAAAACTGATACAACAATGGGCTGCACACGCACTGCCAACTAGAAAAGGTGTTTGACTACATTCTTCCTTAAATACACATAACTGACTGGAAAAGCTCTAAAACAAAAAGTAAAGACTGAAACCGAAGCCAATGTCACATGATAATCCAACATTTGCTTATGCAATAGCACTTTTTCTCCCTCCTTCTTTTGCAAGCCCATGAAAATGTGACTTGGAAGGTCCCAACCTCTGGAACAAACGCTGAGGACACAAAGGGGACTGCAATGGGGTGGAGAAATTGCCTCACCTTCAATTCCACTGGCGGAAAAACTACAGCAAAATTCACCAAATGTATTTTGCTATATAAAACTAGGGAACTTCCTCACCAATCAATTTTTTGTTCTTGTCTGCCTCATAAAATAGGAAAAGCAAATATTATGATGTAGTCATTTTAGAAGCCTGGAAGACAAATAATATAACCACTACTTCCAATCTTGTTTCACCACCACCACCCTCACTAGGACCTCTCTTCCTTGTTGTACCTTACAAAATGCAAAGAGAGAGGAATAGAAATTACAAATTTTACCACCAACAGCTCACATACTAGGAAAAATCTTGTGCAACTTTGCACACAGCACCACTCAGATCAGGCACCAGAAACATTTAAGCTTCCTATCTTCCTGTTTCAGGTTTCAATCCTCCCTCAGACTCCCTTTTGAACTGGGGAAGCCTTTGGGAGCCTCAGAACCCAGGAGAGAGGCCTTCAAAAGTCAAAATCACCACTGGATTGCCACCACTAGGAAATGGGCATTGCCACTAGTTATTTTGTTTTGCTTTTAAAGGCTTCCTCCGTCTCATCCTGAGGTTTCCAAAGGCTTACACAGTGCAAAAGGGAAGCTGAGAAAGCATCCAAACCTAAAAGAAGGGGTTAAGAGGTTTATAATTAGTGAAACTTAAACAGTTCTGGTGCATGATCTGAGTTGTGCCAGGTGCAAAGCTATGCAACAGGATATTTCCCATTGTTTTGTAATTGGGCATTATGCCTAAGTTTATCTCAGCGCTTCGTCTCCTGTCATGAAACTTGATGCCATTTGACAGTATTCCTCAAAGTGTAAAAGTTAAATCATGTATAAGTATGAAACTGTGTGCGCTAAAATCAATTTCAAAAAGTCAGAGCCCCCTATGAGTCACATAAAGCAAGTTTTTTTTTTCCACCAACCTGTTTACATCTGTTTTGGAATGCAGGGGACCAATGCTTCCAACACCTTAAAAATGGAATTAACACAATAATTCTGCTGGTCATTTTGCTAGCATAGAGGTGAGTGACATCTTAAGAAATGTTGGCTGCCACAATCGTTTCACACGTTAAATTTTGATTTCTTAGTAATTTCTGTGGAAACACACAGCTTCTTATTCTAGGTATCTAACTACTGCAAGCCCACTGCAGGAATAGGAAGCAATCTTAATTTATATCTCTCTACAAATTTATTTAAAAATGAAAGTCTAGGGAAAGGGAAATGAATCCTACAATATGTATGTTTGGGTAGCTGTACACTGAAGTAACAGAAAATGACAAATACAAGATTTACAATAGGAGAACATAAAATATACATACTTGATATGCTTTAATGTTAAGGAATCAATTCCCCCTCTTATAGCAAGCATAGAGAGCATATTACTACTACCCTATTTTTTAGAGAGCATATTACCACTACTCTATTTTTTGTTTGTTCAAATAATTATTTGAGTAAGTTTTTCACAATTCAAAATATTAGCCAAAATTTCAGTTAACTTTTGGGAAAAGATGTTTATATTGTTACCACAACCCACTTTAATTTTTGTAAAGTAGCAACCCATGTTTTCATATCTCCTTAGAAAGGATGAAATATTGAGAACTGCCATAATTCTTAAAGAGGAATTTACTACCAATATCCTTATGAGTATGCTATCACCAATACATCTTTTTCTCACAATTCAGTATAGATTCTTCTTGCTATAATCGTTCATATGCTACTTAAATGAGTTTTGATTCCTCTGCTATGTGGTGGTCATCATAAGAATAGGAGACATGCATCTGAAAGCATGTAGGCATACACTCAAAAGCAGACATGGGCACGAACCACAGTTCATCCATTTGGCACAGTTCGGCAGAGCACTCAACACAGGTGTTCCCCACGGGTGCTGCATACTGCCCTCTCCTGCCTGCTTTGCACACTCAGGTGGCTGTCCACTTAAAGGCAGCACTGCAGGCTTCCCCGCCCTGCCTGCTCATCTGAGTGGATGGCCACCAGAGAAGGTGGAGGAGGGAAGTGTGTGCTGCGATCAGTAAGTGGGCAATCACACTGAGAAGCCAGAGGAAGGAAGCAGGCCTTGGCTGGGGAGTGGGCAAGCACACAGAGGAGCCAGGAAAAGGAAATGTGTGGCAACTGCTGAACAGCTGTGTGGTCACCATGCTGAACTGGGCCAAACCACCAAACCATCATTCTCATCTCTAACCAAGAGCAAAGACTAAGTTTCTTCAGACATACGGTAAGTCTATAATCATGCACCTCACTTTCATATATTATGCCACTGAATGTGGAGATGGATACACTAATGTCCTATCATTTGTAGAACTAAAAGCAGTCCTTAAAGTTCACTCTTTATCTACTAGTTTATAAATATAATATATATATTCTTATCATTATTTATTCATATATTCTTACCATTAACTTACCATTTTTTGGTTTTCCAAATGAAGCATGATTTATTTCAGTTAATGATACATGGCCATAACTTTGGGTACTTGGTTTTGCATATACAAAAGAACAAACAGATAAAATTAAGTTCTCAGATAGAACAAGTATAATCCTAGATTCCAATTACACAACAGCACGTTGTATTGAAAATTATACATTTAATATGGAACACAAACATGTTTTATACTAGCAACAAGAGTCCATTAATATTGTGATATAAACCCAAACTATTTTGAAGGACGGAGAAACTTACTTGCTGGAACACATTTTTAAGAGCTGCTGTAACAGGGAGGATGTGCGATCCCTGTGTCCAGCCCTGTTAGCAATCAGGTTGAGTTTTGGACTCATTGAGGTTTCCTGAAAATTCCCACAGGAAGCCCCACACAGTAATCCAGCTAGGATGTAACTGATTGATCTACTAGAATTCCTCAATGTAGGCAAGACTCAATGGACCCAATATAAGACATCTCAGTGGACTCAATATAAGCCAAGGTTTCTTAGGCCATTATCAAATGTTGTATCTGTTGTAATTCCCACCTTTATTTCCTTATTAACTACCCACTACCACTTCACAAGCCCCATCAGAGATTATGACACTCATTATCATGTTCCCCTTGTTATCTATAGCCAACTGGTAGAGGCTCAAAAATTCTATACAACTCACAGGTGTATTATGATACACAGAAGTGAATGCACGTGCAAAAAGATGTCTCCTGAACAAACTGAGAAGCCTAAAACTAGGAACAATTTTAATACAAAGTTATGTTCAATTTGGTTTAAATTGGTATAAAAATCAATGCACTGAATGTACTAACTTTCTTTGTGAATTATTTGTTAAAATATATGAAAATCAGTAAGAAAAGGGGGCACCATAAAATGTATTTTATTATCACTAAAACATATTACAAAAAAATCTGCACATTTGTTAAGCAAGGAAGTTATGAAAAACAAGGGTAGTCCCACAACTATCGGATTTCCTTCTCCTACAATTACCAAAATGATGGTCCCACAAGTTATATAAACACAAAAGGGCTGCTAATTTTTTCTTTGTTTCTCTGTCCCCACCCCCCATCTGCAAAACATTATGCAGAAGAACAGGGCAAGTAAGAAACATGGATTTTGTCTCCCAACAGAATTGTACTCCCAGCCTCTCAAATGGCATAAAACAACAATGGTTTTCATGTTTGTGCCACTTATTACAGTGGTTGTGGTTTCAGTGACAGCACATTCAGCAGTGAACGAGGAAAGATGACAACCCAAAGCATCCCAAGGACATCAACTCCCCACTTGAAGAAATTGCCCATCTCTACTCTAAGCCAAAAGAGCCTGCCTTAGTAAGCCAGAAAAACAGAGAAGTGCCATGGCCCTGGGTTTCACCTCTTTCTTCAATCAAGCAAGCTAATAAATGGGATTCGGGGGGGAAAAGCCAGTAAGTGAATGTTTTGGCTTAGTACTATGCATGAATGCAGCCAGGAATGCTGCAGAAGTGCATGGATTAAGAGGCCATTTCTATCTCACAATACAATCAAGCTGGATTTATCTTAGTCTCCTCTTCCTGCCAGATGTCAAGTCATGTTTCAAAACAAAGCACAAGATACCTGTGTACTGTTTTTTCAAGTACTAAGTGAAAACTAAATGCTCTACCAATTCATTTCAAGCTTTTCTTAAAGTGTTATTCATTATAGAGACTTACTCCAAATACTTTGCTCTTACAGGAGAGGGGATAGTTTCCGATCTCTTTTCTTTTTCTTGCTCCAGCAGTTGTTTATATTTTTCTCGCTCTTCCTTCTGAACTCCCTAGGGGCAAGGATAAATACTGAAGTTATTCATCAAAAAAAGTAAAGACAATCATACTGCCAATGTTCCGAAAATATTCCATGGTATTATCCCTCAGTGCACAAGTTCTCAGGCTAGTCCCATAATCACTCTAACACAGGAACATGCTGTTGTTTTCAGTTTACAGATAGGAAATTGAAGTGCAGCATGTTTAGAACTGCAATTTTATCCCCTCTTACTTGGAAATAAATTGCAATGAAAACCAGCAGATTGTGTATCTTAATATCGATACAGAAACCAGGCCATAAGCGGTCTGTTCCGTATAATAATAGTTAGCATACAGGAAAAGGGAACTGGACGATGACCAGAAGTTATTAGAGCTGGTACTTAAATTATAATTCTTCCAGCTGAACAAAGAAATTTTCCTAGTTGTTTTAGAAACAATATAGTAGAAACTGCTAGCCTAAAAAAATGAATATTGGACAATACAGCAGAAAAGATAAGAAAGAAAAACATAGGCAGTGTTTTAAGGAAAAATGTACAGGAAAAATTTAAGGAAAATTTTTATTGGAAAAATTTCCAATTAACCTGTCAGGATTTTTGCCAATACTGCTAAATCTAGTCAAGGCCTATCTAACATAGCAAGTACTCACCTTGTATAAATTTAAATACATATGAATTGGAAATGAGATTTTTAAAAATCAGCTGTTTTAAGTGAACCATTATTGCTCAGTTTAGCCTTTCTCACTGAAATGTTGAGAAAAATGTGGTGAATGTGGTGATGTTATTCTCTGATTCTATATAAAATCACCACATTTTTATATGGAATTAAACCCAGTGCAAAGGCATCTCTCAAAGATTTCAGTTAATAGCACAGCCTTCTTTAGAGGCAGTTATTCCAAGCTAGTTGAAATAACTGAGCCACTAATTCCAAACTACTTATTAATATGTTCTATTATAATGCATTGTTTGTCAGTAATATACATGACCCAATAATAAAAAATGACTCAATATAATATAAAGTACTTATATGTGTGTGTGTGTGCTGCCACCAAAATGATAGCCACCCTGAAAGTGGCACACTAAGTTTGGGTTTCCATTTAATCTGTGACTAGAGACTCTATTTCTAGAGAAGGCACAATGAGAACCAATAATCCCAAGACTACTTTTGTGACTATCCACATCAGCAATAATAGGCTTTGTGCATACTAAGGAAACAATATTTTATTGGATATACAAATATAATGTCCAACCCATCTACTATATGTAACTACATGTGCGTAAGTATCAAAAGCTACTCACCTACTACAATAGACTAACTCCAACACTAACATAGTCACCCAGCAGTCTTCCATGGAACTATAAGACAGACACCCCTAGGGTCTGCAGATGCACAACACTTCAATTGACATCAGCCTTTCCCAACATGACAACCTCCTGATGATTTGGCCTAAAACTTCCACCAATCTGTATCCAGCATCCCATTGTTGCTGGGTGGTAGGAATTGTAGCCAAGGCATTTAGAGGACACCAAGTTGGGAAAGGCTTACATACAGTTTCTTTGGTTTAAATAAAGCTCAACTTGAATCAAAATACTACAATGGCACATACAGTATACGATGCATACTCTCTCAACTTTAGTGCTGAAACATGTATTATGTAATTCATAGAAGCCATAATTCTCAATATGAACAACTAAGCCCACTGAATTGAGCTACTGAAATATTCTACTGTCATTCCACTACCAGGACATTCATAAATGTACATTGAAAAATAAGTGTTACATGTTGGTGCACTTGCCTCTTCCACTGTACAGCGTGGCTTCCTTAGATACCTTCCAGTATCTAAAGTGGAACCCTCCAACCAATGCCTGCGGGAAACAAGCCCCCAAGATTGCAAGTCCTCTCGAACTGCATTATGATTTTTCTTGCCATTCTTTCTGACACTGTATGTCTGGTCATGCCTGGTAAGAGGAAATAAAGGATTATCCTGGCAATCATACTACCTGCAAGTTACTGATTTCACTACAATGAAGTGGTATGCATTTGAGGATAGTTGAGCAGACATCGTTTTTACACTAATTTAGACACAACAATCCATGCAAGCAATATCAGAGAACACAATAGATATGTCACCTCCACATACCCCATAGATCACATAAACTTCCAGTTTTTATACTCTGAAATATGGTATCACAAAATGCTAAGCCTAAGATTATTTGACGTTGATGCTGACATGTAAAATATGCAGGCAAGTTATTTTCAATTACTTAATTAAGAAGCCACCTGAAAATAAGCTTCCTACAAGGTCATCCTGAATTAAAAAGCACGTTCAATGAATTGCCTATAGGAACATTAAAGCAGAAGACAATTGGGGGGAAAAACCCATGTGCAGCAATAATCACACAAGCAGTTTCCCTTTGGTGGGTTACCACACAACCAGTCACACACTTCCTGTAAACCAGTCCTAAAGCTGGCCACATGAAGAACAACATACCAAGGGGGAAAACTGTGTGAATGCTACTGCATGCATAGTTTTCCCCAGCAGGATTCTAGCTGAACTAATTACATGAGTGATTTAACAAGATCTAACCTGCAGAATTAACTTAGGGAATGAAAGTAATCATAGTGGATTACTGTAACACTACAGTCCCAAGTAGTCATTAGTTCATCTAAGACTAAATAAAAGTACAAAGGGAGAAGTGGTTGTCTATTTTAGGGAGGTTTTAATTCTTCACAGTCTTCGAGGATTTCTAATTCTAAGGTGAAAAATGAAGTATATCTTAAAGATTTTACCTCAGACAGGTCATAACTCTGTGAGAGTCAGATACCATCTCTATAGCTGGATTCAAATTGGAACAGCAATTAGTTTTCTTACCTGTGGAGAAGGCAGCAAGACCTATCATAAATAATTTTGCAGACAACAATTCCAATGTTGATTTTGGACAACTGTCAAATCTCTTTCCATGGATAAAGGAGAATGTTACATTACAAACTTCTGTTCATGTTCAATCAAATAGATGTATCTGCAAACCAGTATTCCAGCCTGCTGTTCAGAAAACCAAGGACGTGTACTTCTGAGAAGAGGTACTTCAGGTTATTATGCCAAATAAAAAATAAATCCTTTATGCCTGAAAGTAAATGTAATGGTACAAGGAAACTCTACAAAACAACAGCTTTCAGGCATCCTTCTCAGCAAACTGCCTTGCAAGGAAAGTTGTAGCTTCCTAGGATCTTTCCATATCAAGAAATCTACATAGAGATAACCACACACATACAAGGAACAGAACTGAAACATTTTAAAAGATGGAAGAAAAACAAGAAAGCTAAACATAACAAAAAGGCATGCATTAGAAAGGTGAGGTAGATTTCTGCATAAATATATTAAACAATGGAATTGTAATCTAAAAATAGCAGAATAAATCCTGAGTAAGTACATCACATTTAGTATCAATGGAATAAATGCCGTTGGTGCAGTTCCAACAGAGTACACCTGATCTGGCTAATTTTCTACCTATTGCCAATTTATAATTAGGCAACACTTTCATTAGGACCAACCAAAACACCAAAAGAAGAATGGAAGTTTTAAAGTTCTCCAGAGCAGCCTAGAGGATGAGGGAGAAAAATGCAAAGTCCCTAAATTAGACTAGATGCAATATACTGTATCTGTAAGTCACAGCATGTATCACTTACCCATTTTAGATATCTGCACACCAGAGGTAGACTCCATTTGTTTGTCAGCCAAAGTACGGGAGACATTTGAAACATTCTTGAACAGAAGATGCATATTTGCATTAATATTACTGTACCCATGCCAAATGTACAAACCCCATTCTATTCCTTAATTTTTTTTTAAAAAAAACCCTTGGATTAAAGAAAGCTACATCAATTACTGCCTTCCATCCCATCCCCACCTTCTACCAAATCAGAAGTCCCATGGATTTAATTTGATCTTCTCAAAATGCACACAAACCTCATCGGTGGCTTCTGCATGCTGGTCTCCGGTCTGAAGATATTTTGTTGTCAACTGGGATGGTAATTTAATTAAACTGGCAATCCCTTGAGTCAACGTACCAACAATACCTAGGAAAAATGAAACATAGTAAAATGGTATCCCATCTAGTTGGAAAATTTGACCTCTAAGCGGCAAGGAAAACCCACATCCTAAACTTCAGGTAATACAAAACAGTGTGACATTCATAAGCTTTGAATCCCTGTGAAGGCCAGGAGGACGAGAGTGTGCCATCTCCTCCAGAAAACAAGGATGTAAAGGAGAAGGAAAGAGAGAGGGAGGTATTAAAGACAAAGGGAGACGAAGAAAGGGTTAATATAGAGGTCTGCCTCACGGAGGAGGAGCAAATGATCGAAGAATGGGAGGAGGATATAAAAGTGGGAACAGGTGCGTGGGACTTTTATATGGAAACCAGTAAGAAAGAAAAGAAGAAGAAGAGCGACCATGTGAGCAACCTATTAAAAGACTTCCCAGACCTGAAGGTGGGAGGCTTGTTACCAGATCCATCGCTCGAAAGAGGAGGAGGAATGACCATTAAGGAGACGTCTGAATGGACAGTGGTGGTTTTCGCAAGGGGACAAGGTCCCTGGAAGAAGGTGGTACACCCAGATCCCATTTTCAACAAGCCACCCATGTTGTGGCACCATATGCACAGTAAGAGCGCCCCGTTGAGGAAGCCCACTGACAAGGAATGCTTTTGCCCAGCACCTCAATATTGAGAAAGGACGTTAACTCTGATAATGTTATGCATTCTGATAGTCAGTTGAACAACTGGGATCCATTTATCCCCACTGAAGTTGTTATTGATACACCTTTGTTAAATATGAATAAAAATAGTCATGGTTTGAATGATACGTCTGCTTCAATTTCCGTGCCAATTTCGGGACCGCCTAAAACTTTCAAAGAACCTTTTAACAATCCCATTTGTGGGAAAAGACAGGATATAAATGGAGTATCTTCCCATGTTAGCTCTCTTCTGGGATGAGATCATTCTGCTGATATAATTTTGAAAAATAACTTTGTTCTAGAAACAGCCTTGAAATGTCCTGACATGCATTTAACTTTGAACTAGATATTTGCTTTTTATTGGATAAGCCCAATAAACATTGTACAAAGTCCTGAGAGGTCACATTGTAGCAAAATGTTATTTGATAACAGGAGGAAAAGTCTCAATTTCTCTTATGTACAAATATGGAACGCAATATCTCTCTGCACACATCCAAAGAAAAGAGTTTGTCTTGCCCGATAAATCCTTTCCAGGTATAAATAAAAAACTGTACAATCAAATCATTCTGATTTAGGAAAAAAACCCTCTCTCTTGATAGGATGAAAAACCCACTTTACTTACAGAAAATATTTGAATAAATTTACCTGATATTCTGATCAGTTTAGAGGCACTGTCTTTCCACATCTGCATAACTATGATTTCACTCGCAATAAACTAAGTATGCCTGACATCCTAATTTTTATGTTATGGGTCCAGACACAACAACTGATACAGCATACATTTCTTTATTCTAAAGACGACAACATGACATACACAAGACACACATTCAAAAAATACTCATAACTCCAACTCCCAATCAAACCCTCTAGGCATTACCTCATTACAAGGCCCACCTGTCTCCTACAGCTGTCAGAAACCTCCTTTAAAGTGCCAAATACACTACACCCCTCCCCACTAAGACAAGATTTTATCCTGTTACAATCATAGTCTTGCAAATAATGGGGAGGTGGCTGTACTCGCTGAGAACATCTTACACCATTATCTTCAGCCTGCCCATTGGTACCCAATAGATCAGGTTGTTCCAAGGTTGATGCCTCCACAAGTTCCCCAGCATAATGACCCTCTGGTCTTAAAACTGTTAGTGGATCTATAACGGGCTGACACACAATCTCTACTGCCCGAGATGCCCCAGCTTCCAGTCCTCAGCTGTTGATATCCTCCAGCCATCTCTGCTACAGAGGATCAAGATGACATTGCAGTTCCTGTTCATCAGATGTTGTCACTCGATGTAACACTGGCCCGGTTGCCATAGCTATTGTTGCTGGCCCAATGAGGGCGCCTACCATAATTACAGGCACAAACCAGATCCCCAGGGTGAAAAACCCGCAGTTTCCCCCCCTACTTGTTGTGATTCTTCTGCCAACATGTCTGGGTGCAACCTATCAAGGATCGTAGTCAGCCTTGTATTCATTAAAAGCTCCGCTGGAGTACGCCCTAATGTAGAATGGGGTGTAACATGTTGTTGCAACAACAATGTTGCCAACTGGTCTTGACAATTCCCTCTAGCCAGCCAGCGGAGAGTGTCTTTCACTGTCCTAATATTCTCTCTGTCTGTGCATTAGTAGACGGGTGCAAGGGAGCTGATGCCACATGCTGAATAGCATTATCTCCCATAAACTGCTGAAATTCTGCTGATATGAACTGAGCCCTGTTATCTGAAACAATAGTGTCCGGCAAACTATGTGCCACACAAAGCCTCCGAAGTGTACAAACAACAATGGTTGTGGATATACTGGACACAGGGACTATCTCCAACCATTTAAAAAAAGCATCCACCACAATAAAAAAAATAGTTGCCCCTGAAAGGGACCAGCAAAATCTATGTGGAGTCAGGACCAAGGGCTTCCTGCCGCCTCCCATGGGTGGACGGGAGCCTGTGCTGGCGACGGACTCGACTCCTGACACATCTGACAAGAATGAACCCATTCATCAATGGTCTTATCCATCTCAGGCCACCAAACATAACTATGGGCTAGTGTCTTCATACGCATTATACCTGGGTGGCCAACATGTAGTGCCTCAAGCTCTTGTTGCTGCAACCTGCTTGGAATAACAACTCAGCTCCCCCACAACAAACAACCTCTGTGCACTGAGAGTTCATTCTGACTACAACTAAATCCCTGGAACTCTTCCATCATTGAATACCAATAGCATCAATCAGGAATCCAAGGAATTCCACCTGTGGGACTCCAAACTGACACTTCTCCTGATTAACCTTTAAACCTGCTGTCTGAAGTTCACCTAATACCATCTGGAGTCACTCGGCTAGCTCAGCTTCACAACCTGCAGCTACCAAAACATCATCAAAATATGAGATGACACCTGGCAACCCTCGCAAGAGGCCTTCCATGATGCCTTGAAATATCCTGGGGGCCACAATGATATCAAACTGTAATCACTTTACCTTAAAAGCCCCCCTATGTGTTACAATTGTTTGTGCCTCTGTGGTGTTATAATCTACTGGTAATTGTTGATAATCCTGGGCCAGATCAAGCTTTGCAAAGATCTTTCCACTATTCAGCAATGCCAGAAGATGACTTACTACTGGCACCGGGTATGCATGCTGTTGTAACACCTGATTAACAGTACATTTGCAATCATCACAAATCCGCACAGCCCTTTTAAGCCCTTTGCCTTAAGAGGAATAGAAATAGGTGTTTCTCATCGAGCATGAGGCACTGCCTCTAGGACGCCCTGAACTATCAACTGATCCAATTGTTCATCAATTTTAGGCTTAAGGGCAAATGGAAGCCGACATGCCTTTAAATAGATTGGGGTCACTGTTGGATTCAAATGAAATAAAATAGGCGGCCCAGTGTAACTCCCCAAAGATCCATCAAACACTGCTGCAAACACCTTACACACCGCTGTAAAATCGCCATGCTTGATTTGTTAAATACCAGAAATATAAATGCCCAATGGTTCAAACTATTCCAATCCCAGTAGGCTTGGTAATTGCCCTTTTGCTACTACCACCCGTAATGGCCCTCTGAAGTACTTATAAGCTATTCAAAAGGTGCTCATCTCCAGTACAGGAACCTGCGTGCCCTGGAAATCCTTAAGAAGAACCTCACATGGCTCCAATTTGTGCCTCCACCCCTTAGGACAAATCTGCTGGAGTGTCTGGTCTGCAATGATAGATAATATAGAACCCGTGTCCACCTCCATTTCACATGGCACATCCTGAATTCTTACAGTCACTCTGACCTTTGATTGAACTGCTGGCTGTAATGTCATCACGAAACTGTCTCCTTTAATCTCTGGCAGTTCAACAGAATGTGAGGAAAGGGTGTGACACTCACCTGTAGCCCTTTCTGGATGCCCAAGCCGCTTGACGATTCCCCCTTTCAGCTGCCCTTGAGTAAGGGGCAGCACGACAGCCACAAGCAATGTGCCCCACCTTCGGCATTATAATTCCAGAACTAACATCCCTTCCTCCGATGGGCCCCTCCCACAACTGGCACATAGATTTTCGGGTGGTACTTTTACTCCTTAGCTCCTCTAATGGATGACTCACATTACAGCTTCGCCCTCCTCCTCCTCCCTAGAAGAGGAGTCCTCCCACTGCCCTTGATCAACGCTTTCAGCTTACTGGGAGGTGGGGGAGTCTTTTCCTGTTGAATTTATCTTGTAAATTTCTGTCCAGCTTCTACAGCTAAAATCTCCTCATAAGATGTTTTAAAATCCAGATTCTTCCTTGCAAACAATTGACACTGCGTTTTTTCATCCCTTATGCCACAAACCAACCTCTCAATGCCTCATCCAGGTCTTCAAAATTACAATTCCTGCAGCTTGCCAAAGGGCTGTAACATAATTAGCTGCTAACTCATCAGGCCCCTGGTCATGTTTGTAAAAAGCATGGGGACAAGCAATCTCTGATGGTTGAGGTGAGAATCTTGCAGCTTGTCTTTGATTATTGAAAATGTGATTTTTTTTAAAGGGGTAGGAGCACACAAAACTCTCACTATCTCAAAAACAGGCAGCCCACAAATGCTGAGAAAGGTAACTCTAACAGTCTCTGGTTTGGTTATTTTGTTAGCAGCAAGGTAAAACTCAAACCTTGATATGTAAGTTTCCCAGTCTGCAACAGTTGGGTCAAAAGGCTCCAAATATCCACTGGTAACCATTTCCACAGCTCATCCTTCATTTCTCCAACAGTTAGCCCACAGAAAGGTAATTAATTCAGCCCAACATACCCTCTGTAGGCAAGCAAAATCTCATTATCAGTGTTATATTGTGAGTCCAGACACCACAACTGCTTCAGCATACATTTCTTAAATACCCATAACTCCACCATCCCCAATCAAACCCTCTAAGCATCACCTCATTACAAGGTCCACCTGTCTCAAACCTCCTTTAACGTGCCTGATACACTACACTAATGAATAAGACCCACACCAAGACAAAGTGGTCTCTGAAGAAAGGAAGAAGAGATAGATGCATATGAAGAAGTATGACAGTGGTGGGCGACGTGTGGCATACAGACTACAACCCACCTTCAAAAACAATTTTTTTACAGAATCTCCTGCACTTTTTATGCAAGGGGTGGGGGAACATTTTTTCTAGGTATTAGTCCCGCCTCCACAGGTCAATTCTGGTTTTGGAAAAAAAAAGCCTGGAAAGAAAACACAACACAGATCGGGTCCAAACTCTGATGAAACTGCTTCCCCAAAAAAAAGATAGGAGGAGGATTTCCAAGTAAATTTTTAAAAAAAATTAGACAAGATGAAAGAATTAATGGGTGCCCTTTAAGATCCAGGCCTGAATATCTTTAGTCTCAAGATCTCTGGTCGATGAAATGAATGTGTCCACAAAAGCCCACAGTAAAGTACAGCAGTTAGTCTATATGGTGCCACAATGTTTTTGTCATCTTTTTTTTTATTTTCATACTGTTTTTGCCCGACGCCTAGATGTTTCAGTAGTTATAGTATAGTAAGACAAACCACTCTCAAGAACAAAACTGACTTTCAGGAAACAACATTCACCTATCGCAAAGCCATTTAAATCGTATAAGAATTAAATAATATAATAATAGTTGGGCTGCACAACTTAATGTCCTGGACTTTGACTCAGAGATCAGAATTGAAATCCCTGTGGAACCTACCAGGTAATGTTGGGCCAGTCATTCTTTCTCACACTGACCTACTTCATACTGTTGTTCTGAGGAAAAAGTGGGAAGGAGGAGACAAATGTGGACCATTTTGAGCTTACTGGAGGAAAAGTGAGGTAAAAATGTAAGCAACAGACATTCATTACCAAGCTTTTGTCTTTTTGCTTGCTCCTGATCAAGGTCTTCTGGACTGGCTTGAGTACTGTGAAGACAAATGGATACATCTGTTTAGAAACAATTTCCAACTTTCTCCAGGTTCATTATTTTAACATACAGTATGTATTTCCTTCTCTCTTAACTTATTTTCAAGATTATGCTAAACTCTCATTTATTGTTTCATTGGTGTCCTTTTGAGTCATCCCTCGCAAGTCACCACTACTAGAATCTTCCCAAATACTCTTCACCAGGATCATCTTCAGTTGCCACACAAACCCCCCCACTTAAATCTGCTGATCATTTTATAATATTAACAGCAGATTACACTAGCTATATGACTAGAATGTACACTTTATTAACCTGCCAGTGACACTTTGTTGCTACTAACAGACAGCACCTTATAATGCAAACTTACTGAACTGCATTTATTTTTAAAAACAGTATTCCTTTCCAAAGAAAAAGGGTGGCTACCCATCAAATCCTCTCCAGTCTTAACCATGGGTGCTCAGCAAATTAATTACTGTTTGTAAATGATCGAAACCTCAATCCAATGCCACATCAGAACCAAAAAGGCTTCTACTGAAAAAACATACTGTACTGTCTGTAAGTAGTATTTAAATATCTGGCCAATTTCTAGCAAGATAGTAGGGTAGCATTAAAGGGGTTGGAATCCAGGAAATTTCAAACTTGGTTTATGTAAGAGCAAAGGTTTATGCAAATAGCCTACAAGGAAACATTGTGTCTGTAAGTACAGCAGGCTGCTTTTGTACATTCCAGCGGCTACTGCCGCCGCCCGCTAACCTCTTAGGTAGGGCAAGGAGGGGCTTAGACCCCTCTCGCGAAAGCAGATGCACACATCTCCCTTCCTCACACTCTGGGTAAACACGCGAGTACAATCGCTTTCTCGATTGCCTTTAACCGAGTCGTCAGCCGAGGAACTCCGAGCGCCACCCAGAGAGAGAGGGCAGCCCCAACAGCAGCAGCGCAGGGCCGAGCTAAGCCGACTGGCAATGTCGCCTCTTCCCACTTCCCGGCCCCCACAGACGCCCGTCGCCGAGGGCCACCTACTTGCGCCGAGATACAAGCAAGACTATTCCGGGACCGAGGCCTGAGCGGCCCGGATCTTGTAACGGGCCTCCTTCTGGAGCTGCCAGTCTGAGAACGAAAGGGAGCAGGTACTCCACCTCCGAAGCCCGCTCTGTAGGCAAGGAAAGATAAACCACCCAGTTGCCCTCAGAAGCAACGTCGCCAACGGTAGGCCCGTCCTGAGGCGCCTGGGCGAGGTCGCAGCCCCACAGTTTCTCTGCCTCCAGCTACATCCCCTCTAACCTGGGCTGCCGCCTCTTCCGCGACTGAGGGAGGGAAGGCCCCACTTCCCGGCGGCAAGAAGGAGGTGGGAACAACCACGAGCTCAGAGCCTCGAGCAGCCATTTGTACATAGGCTTCAGCCACAAACAGCCGGGCCGGAACTACGTCAATTTTTAGCGACTGTCGCATAGTCTGTGTTTTTTACTACAGAAACTAAAGGAAACTCAAGTCTGTTTCCTACCGTAGCGTTACCTGCGTGGGAGTACATGCTGTATTTCATTCATCCTCGTATATATACGTGTGTATTCCGAAGCAGGTAAAGCTAGGTGACTAGTTTGAGGGAAATCGTTTTTAATATGTATTCTCTTTTTTTTAATTATTTTATTTTATTTTTTACATAAAGGGTGACATAGGGACATGGGGGTTAGGGTTTGTGAGGGAAGGGGATTTGTGAGGGAGAGGGGAAATCACAGCATACTAATATCCAATCTATACCTGTTGCCATATCAAATCCAAAATCATGCTATTTACTCTTTAGTATGTATTCTCGAAGGCTTTCACGGCCGGGATCTGATGGTTGTTGTGGCCTTTTCGGGCTCTTTGGTCGTGTTCTAAAGGTTGTTTTTCTGTCTTGAGTTCTGGCTACTGTCCTCTGAGGATGCCGGCGACAAGAGACTGGAGAAACGTTAGGAAGAATAACCTTCAGAACACGGCCAAAGAACCCGAAAAACCCACAACCATTTTTTAAAAACATATTTGTACGTGTCTTGTTTACAAATTAGAACTAGGAGCTGAAATGAAACTATATATATAAAATTTGTAAATATTTTAAAAAATACGAATAGAATATGTGCAACTCCTGCTACTGCTGGTTCGGGTCAGCCTACAGTATATGCCTGCGAGCCAAGTCATTTCTTATATTGTCACTTACGGGCAAAGAAGAGAGAGCTGCCTCTTCCCACCTTTTTCTTGCCTAAACATGAAGGAAAATACACTACAGTCGAAAATAAGGTGAGGGAACAAGCAGTTCCCCTAAAAGGAGTGCAATGAGCTTCGTGTATGTTGAAGGAGCGAGTGAGTGACGACTAGACACCAAGCAGGAGAGAGAATAGAAGACTTGTCCTCGTCGTCCGTGTTCTTTTTTGTACTGTATAACATTTTCAATGTGAAGGATACAAGGTTTTCACTGGAGATGTAAAAAAATATGGTGGGGACACATCGGGTCCATTTGCAAAATGCAGAGGAACTTCCGGCTCTCTCACTCGGCAGCCTTTTCACTCTAGGGGAGGAACGAGGCTCCGTACGGGTTGAGTGTGGAGATACTTCCCGGGTTCACTGCCGAGTGCTTTTAGTTCCCCTTCTCTTTTAGTTCCTACTATCGGTGGCCATCGCCAGTGCTCAATGATGCCGTCGCTCGTAGGGTTCCTGTTGGTTTTGGGCACCGCCACCTCGGGTCTTTATTTGCTGTCAGTGCGGCTGCCCGGAGAGCCGCGGGCGGGAAGTGGGTGAGTTGCCGTTTTCCTCCTTATTTCCAGACGGCTGGGGCTTGACGCGGGTCTCGCTCATGGAGCCATGCTTGATCAGCTGGTACGCTGTGCTCTTTCCACGCTGTTTACCTCCTGGAAAGAGAGAAATGAAGGCTTGTTTTCATGCCGGCGCGGCGGAAAATTTGGTCGGAGTTGCCTTGATTCCCGACGAAGCATTTGGATTTTTTCATTATTATTATTTTGGGGGCGCCAGTAACTGTGACTGCCAGCCTAAAAATACATCGTTAATGAAATCTGATGCTACCCTTCGCGTGTGTAATGCTCAGAAATGTGCTGATGCATGCTCTAAACTAAGTTTAGTCTAAGAAGTGGTGAAACCTTATCGCGACAAATTCTGGAAATATGGCCTCAGAATCCCATGTACTTGCAGTAATTTGGTGTACTTTTCAAGTTTCGAGCCCCCAGTATATAGTTTTTGTGCCCTTTGGCTTTGTTGGTTTGCCCAGATGTTACTTTTGTAGGAGACAGATGAGTGGTGACGTGTACTTCTCTCTCTTTTGTAGATGAAAGCCCACATCAGAATGATTCTGTCATAATAAATCTTAGTTTCTAAATCTGTTATGAATTATTAATATATAATGCCAGTCCTTAGTCATAAGTACTTTGATGATTATTTTCTATAGCTGCTTATTCATGTATCTGTGAACTGGCAGCAGTGAGGACACTGTGCAGTAGGATTCAATGAAACTGTTGTGTACATTTAAGAGCCCTTGATTCGTGCAGTGTATTGTATTGTGTTGTGGAAGTTAGACTGTAGAGGTTTTAAAGCAGATAACCTAGATCTTTTTGGAATGATAAATAAAACTTAGTGAGAACTGAGTGATCTTTATGGCTGACTTCTGTCAGTAGTTTTTAGAGACCTGTGGTCTCATTATAGGGAATATCACTGATTTTTTCATTTCTTTTGACTTTAGGTTATATGCATATCAGGAATTTGATAACTGTTCTGTTAAATTTTAAACATTTGTAAAACCAGCAGCTTGTCTTTACCACAAAATCAAAGCTAAGCAGTAGCCCATCACAGCCCACAGGTACCAGAATTCACTGCAATTCTTTTCTGCAATTCCTAACTCAGCAAGTGTCTTTTGTGTAATTATCAAGGCTGTATTTTTTTACAATGTAAATTTCAGCAAAAGATATTGAAAACTGAAAGCATATTGGTTGTTTCCCTTTTTAAATTCTCATGGATACTTGAAACTACGCACACTTAATAGATTTCAGGGACCATAAGAAATTTGGATAGAATGGAAAAATACAGCCTGAGCTATAATTCCTGTTCTGTGTTAGAATCCCTGATAAGCAAAATGTAATTTAGCTTTTATTAGTTTTGTTAATAATCTTGTACTAACAATTTAGTATGAAGCTTGCTATAATTACCTAATATTTGACTAAAAAGCATCATCTTTTCTTTACTATGTTGCTCCTTCACCCTATGTCAGTGTTAGGTCACAGGGTAAAGACACCTCTTCTCTGCAAAATAGCGTTGAGGCTTGTTAAGCCCAAGTAAGAAATAAACAGCACAACTGGCTATGGTGAAAGAAAAGGCACACTGTTTATTGGCAGGACTATAATTTCAGTTGCATGCAGCTTAATACGAGCATGTCGTAATATACAGAGCATGTCAAGATTCTTGAATTTTAATAATAATGTGGCATTTAAAAACCTCCTAGGCTCAGTTGTATGCAAGTGTATTCGCGAAGGCTTTCACGGCCGGGATCTAATGGTTGTTGTGGGTTTTTCGGGCTCTTTGGCCACTTTGTGCTCTGGTGCTGTTCTCTGAAGATGGCGGCCACAGAGACTGGTGAAACATTAGGAAGAACAACCTTCACAACACGGCCAAAGAGCCCGAAAAACCCACAACAACCATTGTACACAAGTTTTTAGCTTTTTGCAGAAAAAAGAAGATAGGAGCAAATTTACTTGTTTCTGTTGAAGGCAAACAAATTAAGATTGCTCATCATGCTGCTAGCATTTATATATCATTTTCAATTAGAATTGAAATCAATAGTTCAGTGTTTATAAAGTTTAGTATTATTTCCTTTTCTGATTTTCCACTAGTATGAGCAATTGTATTTAAATAACTGTGTGCTTGCAAATGTACTGTGTACAGTGCTTCTTGTTTCCAGCACAGACTCAACAGTTATCTTTGTGGACTTCTAGTCTTTAGTCAGATTGCATAAGATTGTATTGTAGAAAAATGTATTTGCCTGTTCCCCAGTTCCTCCTTCTTCCTCTTATTCTAAGCATGGGGTGGGCATCTAGTGGACTTCCAGATGTTACTGGGCTGCAACTACCATCAGCTCTAGGCAGCATAGCCAATGATAAGGGATAATGGGGAGTTGCACTCCAGCAATGAAACAGAGGGCTATACTTGCTCTAGTTACCTATACTTTTTTATTATTAAAGATTCACAGTCTTGTCCAGCTGGAAATGGTAAAGGTAATCTTTAGTTTCCAAGAGAACAGGGAGGCAAACAGTTTCCTTCTAATCTCATTCCAGAAGATAGGCATTTAAAGTTTGTAAAAGCAAGAGGACAGCTGTTGCAACTAAACTTATTTATTGACCCATAAATGGCTATGTTGCAATAAATCTTGGAGTCCTTAAAGTGATTTTTTTCCTCACATAATGATTCTGTGCTTCATCTATAGAAAGAAGACTCCTTCACTGGCTGCAGTTGTAGTATCTGAACTAATGACCCTTTTTGTTTATCAGGTCACTAAAGTTCCCTTCAGACCTAAAGGAACTGCAAGAGCTTGCAGAGTTTCTACGATACTACAATAGAGAGCATCATATGTATGTGCTGCTGCTGTTCTGCAGTGCCTACCTATACAAGCAGTGTTTTGCCATACCTGGGTCCAGCTTTCTGGTATGTATGTAATCCATAAAGCCTTTGCACCGTGCTGCTAAAAGCTCACCTGCTGTTCTCCCCCTCTGTTTGTGACCTTAGAAGGCTTGCCTAGTAACTCCTTGAACTGGGTTATATTCACCAATACCAATTTATATTGTGCTTTTGTCTTAGATCTCTGTCTAAAGACAGTGTTGTGCCATTCATGTACAAGGCATCCAACATTTTGTAGAAGTAAAATTACATAACATTACAGCAGGATCTGCTCAGAATGCAGTTAGGCTTTTCAGAAAAAAAAAACTAATCACAACTGAATGTGTGCTATTTATGCCTTTTATTCATTCCAGAAACTAAGATTATATTTGTAAAAAAATGTGCAAGAATAAAGCTCTGACCATTAAATAATGGATCATGAAAATCTGATTGCTCAAATGTCAGAATTAGTGAAAATGGTTAGATTTAAAGTGTAGAAGCAGAAAACTATGCTTCATAGCATATTATACCCATTTATTGGATTCAGGAAATAAAAATATAGATCAGCATTCTGTTCTATAGCTTTACTCGCATATTGAAAGTGATGTCAGCAGCAACGGAAGATTACCTCTAAATAAAGACTTTCTGCTTCAGTTTTGGGTTGCACACATCTCGAATCCAATGAAATGAAATTGTGCACAACCTAAAAATCTTTTATTAGTGGCAATCTATAACTGATGCTCTGATCATCCGCTTCTTATAGTGAAATTTAAGCTTAAACTGAAGAAAGTAGGAAAAACCATTGGGCTAGTCAGGTACAATCTAAAACAAATCCCTTTTGAATACACAGTGGAAATGAAGAACAGATTTAAGGAACTAGATTTGGTGGACAGAGTGCCTGAAGAACTATGGATGGAGGCTCGTAACATTGTACAGGAGACAGCAACAAAAACCATCCCAAAGAAAAGGAAGTGCAAGAAAGCAAA